GGGAGATGGAGGCGCAGAGCAAGTGAAGACAGTGTCTCAGCAGGCGAGAGGGCTGCATCAGTTAGGTACCTGGAAGAGGCTTGAGTCATCATCTCTTCCAACCACTTTTTACAAAGGGAGAAACTGAGGCTCAGGGAAGGGAGCGACTTGCCCTGGGTCACACAGCCAGTGAGTGGCAGGGCCAAGAACCAGCACAAGGGCCCTTGGCACCCTGTGACCACCTGCGGGCCAGACGGTGCCTAGCAGATGTTGCTGCCACTGGAATCCACACACTGAGGAAAGCCGCTGAGGAGAATGGGCCGGGATAGAGCGGCGAGAGCCGAGAGAGGGCTGGCTCTGAGAGGGTTGGACTCTGTGGGGAGGAAAGGGGGTCCTGAGGACAGGCCTGGCTCAGTGGGAAACAGAGACGAAGCTCTGCAGGGAGGCAGGCCTCAAGGTAGGCTCAGGACCTGGGGCTGGGGGCTGCAGGCAGGCCCTGGGAGGAATGGACACTGCCACCTTGTGAGCGAGACATTCACTTCGATCGCTCCGAATGGCTTTGGGTTGGAGAAGCGCAGTACTTCTCACTGTGCGCTCCGTCTGGTTCCAGCTCCTTAGCCATTTTGTGCCCAGAGCATTCATCCTAATTCAGACTTCCTTCCCACACCTGACTCTGCTGGGCTCTGCAGGATAACCCCAGGGCTGGGCTGGGCTGGGCTGCGCTGAGGTGGGCAGGACCCCGCAGCCCCTCACCAGGGCAGAGAATCGCGAACAGCTTTTCTAGCCCAGGCCGGCAGCGCTGCATCAATGCAGGTCCTGAGGGCCGTTCTGCCTGGGGCAGATGACCAGACACACTCACCACCTTCCAGGAGTGCACGACGGAGCCGGGAAGACAGATGGAGATGCAAGGAACCAGGCCACGGGGGACACAGGATGTGTCCTGGGAAGCCCAGGCACAGGGAGGTCTGGCCAAGGTCAAGGGAGCTTTAGTTGAGCAGCAGGTTTGAGGTCTGGGGAGAGGAGCTTTATCCAGATTTGAAGGGCGAACCCCCGTTTATTTGTAATTCCTTTAGAGATGCTGTGTTGTTTTGTTTAACAACGCTGGAAGGTCTTTGCTCTTTCAAATAATTCTCTGGCTCAGAAGAAAATCTCTCAGGAGGGGAAATACAGCTGCTCCAGCGAGAACAGGGAGGGTCCTCGGCCTCCAGGGGCAGTAGAGCCAGCGCGGGGAGTTTTAATCTGACCCTGAATGCCAGCATCGGGGCAGGACAAAGCAGTGTGAGGCCCAGGTGGGAGACTGCCAAGCCAGGAGTGACCTCAGAGGTTACAGGCATGGAGTGGAGGATCAGGCCAAGCTGGAGACAAGGCCTTCGGGTTCCTAGAGGGGCCCATGTTGTCCACGTGGACAACATGGAAGCTCGACTCTGGGCGTCTCCTCACTTGTCTGAGCTGGGGTTCTGGGCCCCCTAACCCATTAATCCCCAGCATGCCTGCCCGCTAGAAAGGGGTCTCCGTGGGAGGTGCTGACAGGGAAGGGCAGGGCAGTTGTTCAGAACAGCATGTCCAGTTCCTTGTAGGAACAGAATCTGTGAGGCTGCCAAAAGGGGCCAGGGCCTCCCGGGCAACTGCTCCCCTCAAACTTGGCTCCTCTCCAGCCCTGTTCTCAAAACCAGGGATGGCAGCCCTGACAGATGGCACCAACACTGAGCTGTCAGCCTTCCCAGCAGGCCCCACAACCCAGCAGGACCAAGTGTCCTATGGGATTTAGAGAACAAGGCTAGCCCTGGCTTTCCGCCCAGGGCTAACCACTGACCACCACTCCCCAGGTACCTCCCAGATAGCTTCCCCACTCAGGGCTTCAGCCTTTGCCTTAAGTTTAGAGACTGGGCTGATTGAAGGCCTTCTGTCAGTGCCTGGGGCAACCGTGTGGGTAAGAGCATGAACATCCTGGGTCCTTCTAAATGCAAACATTCTAGTGGCTCCAAAAACCAACAGTGCCCAGACTGTGTTCTGGGGACCTTTCCTGGTGTCCCATGAAGAGAAGGATCCCTGAAATAAAGGATAAGCATTCTCTGTCAACAGAGATGTGATCTGTTCATACAATGGAGCATTGTTCAGCCATGAAAAGTAATGAAATTCTGACACATGCCAACACTCAGATGGACCTTGAAAACATTACGCATAGCGAAATAAGCCAACAGAGAAGGACAAATATTGTGTAATTCCACTTATATGAAGCACCTAGAATAGGTAAGTTCATAGAGACAGGAAGTAGAATAAAGGTTATCAGGTCTGTGGGGAGGCAGGGAAGGAGAGTTATTGTTTAATGGGTGCAGAGTTTTTGTTGGCTTGAAAACGTTTGGGGTATAGACAATGGTGATGGTTGCACACATTATGAATGTATTTAACGCCACTGAATTGTACAGTTAACGGTCAAAATGCTAAATATTATTTTATGTATATTTTACCATAATAAAATTTTTTTAAAGGATAAGTAAGTGTTCATAAAAGTTTGAGAGGCACTGAGTACAAAAAGTTAAATGAGATTTTCTACTGCAGGACTTTTCAGAGCCTTTAGGAAAAGGATATATTACATTGTGGTCCTCAGTGGACAGGATCATTGAATCAGTGGCTCTTAGACAGCCTAATCTTATTCATCTTAGAGCTGCTCCCCAGATTACAATATTGGACTTCCTCGACTGCCTCTCACACCAGGACCTGTCCAGAAAAAGCACTTGAATCTTCATCAAACCTCTTGTCCTGATTTTTATTTAGGAAATAAAGGTCAGTGTAGCCATCTCAAAGCATACTAAAAATAAAGAAATAAATAAAATTGTTGTTTTTGCTCTATTTTCTTCTCCAAAAATAGAAATTCCTTTCCTGGGATTTAGAAGCATTTTTGAGTTCTTTATTTAAAAAAAAAAAAATGTGTGTGTGTGTGTGTGTGTGTGTGTGTGTGTGTATCATGTGCATGTGTGTGCTTGCCAGAGGGGAATTCTCTAGAAACTTCTGGTTGTGGTGCTGGAAATGAAATCCCAAAGGATGAAAGCACGTTGTCTGTGGGCCAGATGGCTTTGGAGGTGGTTGGGGGCATGGGCTTGGCTCTGCCGGTTTCTTGGGGAGGGGGCAGGCTCTGTCCTGGTCTCACTCCCTGCTGTGTGGCCCATCTGCTGCCTTTGGACAAGCCTTGGTGACAGGAGAGCCTGGGGAGAGGCTGGCTGGTCCAGGGCGGTGCATCTTTCCTCCCGGAGGTGAGATCTTGGATACTTGCTCGGCCAAGGGTAGGTGAGCGCCCTCACCAGCTGCTGTATTTGCTCATAGTCTATCCATTAGCCACCATATTGGTGGTGATGGGCATGGAGTGGGGCAGGGGAAGATGTTAGAATGAAGAAAAAATACTAGATTTAAGTGCCAGCTGTGGGACAACCTCGGGTGAGTCACAGCCCAGAAATGTAGCACCAGGGAGTGAAGCCAGAGGGGAAAAAAGTTACAAATGCCGGAAACATGATGAACCTGTCAAAAATACATGAAATTAGCTGCGTAAGTTAGGAAGTAAAAGGCAAGGTCCTGTTTGTTTTTTCACGCATGTAAGCATTTTAAAAAATTCATCAGGAATGGAAAAAATAATTCCTCTCCATACCACTGCCTTGGGTGAGGGATATTTTGGGGAAATCGACGAAAGGTGTCTGTGTTCTCTTGAGGGCTGCAAGGTAGAGAGAAGGAAGCAGCCTTAGGGGGCCCCTGAGCAAGAGATGAATTCAGTAGATCCCAAAGATCAAAGCCAAGGATGTAAGTCCCTGGAAAATCCTCAGAGACATGGGCAATGCTGGCTGGCTTCCCACTGAACATGGTGCCCGGGAGTGGAGATGTTCTTATTTACATGTAAAAAAAGATGAGCTCCGGGAGCAGAAAGGCGACCACCGAGGTTGTTGCTGTCAGGTTAAGTAGGGCCTCTCCGTCCGCTGATTGAAAGAACTAGAGTTCCCCAGGGACCCAGGCGCTAGGCGGGACACAATGACGGGTAATATTAGGACAAAAAGGAACTGTTTCCTTTGCAGCAAACATTAAGGTCAGAAAGAATCTTGTTTCATGGGCAGCCAGAGAGAAGGACACAGGGCCACGACTGAGGAAGAGGGGCTGTTAGTGATTTACGATATCTAAGGATGGGATTCGGCCACCACCTCCAGAGGGCCAAGCTGTGGGCATGCCGAGACCTGGTGGCGACAGGGAGATGTTGTGGACCTGGAGGGCACATGAGACCATCATGATGGGCAGCTAAGGAGCCTGGGCTGTAGTCTGGAGGCAATGGGCCCAGGGAGGAAGTTTGGAAATAAACCTCAATCAGTCATGGCAGAGGCAGGGTTGGAAGGGACAGACCATTGACAGGGAGGCCAGTCAGGAGGCAGCCACATGGCCTGTGAACAACAGGGAAGGTGAACTCCTGACATAGCCTCAAACACACCATGCTGGGGTGGCCCGAGGAGGCTGGCCCACTCCAGGGAGGCCACGGGACCAGGGTGGCAGAAGGAGCTCATCTCTCCAATTGATTAGTAGTAACTGCTTGGAGCATTGTCTGGAGCGGAATTCAGGCAGCGTGGGAGTCCCTCCAGAAAAACAGCCACTGTTGGTTAGTGATGTCCGAGGTGGGGCTGTAAGGAGGCGACGTTCACTCATTCATCTCCACATTCAACAACCGTTCGTTCAGAGCCTGTGTGCCCGCACGTGTGCCGCGATGCTGTCCTCCATTCACTCATTCATCTCCACATTCAATAACCGTTCGTTCACAGCCTGTGTGCCGGCACCTGTGCCGCAATGCTGTCCTCTTCGCTCAGCTCTCAAAGGCTCGGCCACATAAACAGCAAAAAGTCCATGGCCAGGCTTCTCTCGGCTCTAAGCGCCTCTCCCTTCAAGCCTCTCCAAAGCCATATAAAAGATCACCTGGCCCGGGTCCTGTTTTCTCCGGGTCTTGAACAAATTAGATGCTTGGGAGTTATTTGTGGAAGGAAGAAAACAAAAATGAGTGAATTACCACATTTTCCATGTTTTATTCATTCATTCAGCAAAGAAACCAATATATACACTTAGCAAGAAGGCCCTTTCAAGGATTGGGGGTTGAATTAGATCCAAACTTTACTCTCCAGGAATTTATAGTACCACCTGAGATTAGACACATACCCACAGTTCTGGAAAACACTGTCATTGTTTGTCCAAGTTCCTCGGGGTGCCTGGCTTCAGGGAGGTAGGCATAATTTGTCTGGGGTCTGGGTCACCAGAAGGGAGACACGTGGGACAGCAAAACCCGGGGGCAAAGGGTGAAGCCAGCCCCTCCCCACAAAGCAGGGACCCTGTGCCCCACTGTCTTCCTGGAACCAGGAAACAGAAAGCAGCTGTGAAGGTGGCAGGGCAGCAAGAGGGCAAGAAGAGAACGACGACGGTACAAATCCACTCGAAGGGTGTCCTTGAAGATGTCTGAGTCTTGCTGTTTGTTGCCTGGACGGCTGGCAGTGACCACTTCATGGCTCAGGAAGCAGCATAGGAGGGATGCAGGTGTAACCCCAACTCCAGCCCCCTAGCCGGCTTCCCATGGCTGACCACAGCGCAGCCCCTGTCTTATCCTAATTAGCTGCACCTGTGCCTCTATCTAGGCTCACCGGCAAGCTCTTGAGCAGAGTTCTGTTTGTACCTGCACATGGCAATGCTACCCAGTTCCCGGCCCCTGGGACCTGCCTACTCATGCCTCCGCTAGCTGTGAGAAAGGGGAATTTGGTGGAGGTGGAGAAATCCAGAAAAAAAGAGAACAGCACAGAGCCTTGAAGGATGTGGCCATGGAGACAGGAAGGAGCATGGTGTGGGGAGATGGACACTTGCTCAAAACCTCATCTCCAGAACTTAACCCTCTCTTCTGGGATAGTCTCAAGCCAGACCCAGGAAGCAGCACAGTCTGTGGGCAGTCTTTGGAGAGTCTTGCAAAGCTTGGCCTGTGAGCTGAGATCCCCAATTCTCAGAGCCATTCTTTCTGGTTTTGTCTTGCAGAGAGCAGGAGGCTGGCACACACGCATGAAGATGGGTGTGCACACGTGGGGCTTCATGCAGACACACCCATGAAGATCTTTCGGGCCCCTGGAGAGGGTCCCCTCATCCCTTTAAGGCCTATGCCTGGTGACTCAGAGCAGACAAGGCAAGGAGAGTGTGCAGGTGACCCTGTGACCACAAACCAGAGGCTGGACTGCAAAGCGCTTTCACAGGCCCCATGAGGGCAGCTCCTCCTCATTTATATTTTGCTGAGGGTTTTCTTGAATGGCTGCCTGCATAAAACTGTTTAGAAGATTGCTGGTGGAATCTGAATCTATCTGAAATAGAATTCCATTTTCTGGAAATGTACACGAGTGTGTGTGTGGGTGTGCATGTGTCCATGAGAGGGAGTGTGCGTGTGTGTGCGTATGAACACAAGTTGCTGTGCTGGAGAGGAAGCTGGGAAAGGAGAGGAGAGCATGCATTTAGTCATCCACATACATACATATGTGTACACACACATGCATTCACCCACAGCCTGTCTCCCAAATCCATGGCTCGAAGTCACTTTCTTTTCGTAGACCAGACCTCACTTAGACCAGCAGCTTCAACCTTGCCTGCACATTAAGATCACTTGAGGAGCTTGTAAAAATCCCAATGACCAGGCCATACCCTAGACCAATACCTCAGAATTTCTGGAGATGAAATTGGGCATCAATACTTCATATCAATATGTAATAATCTCCTTTGGCGATTCCAATTTCCTGCCAGCGTGAGTGCTCCTCTGCCTAGAAAGCCCTTCTCCTACTCCCCTGCTCAGAAAGCTTCTACTCACCCTTTAAGATCCAAGTCCCATGGCTACTTTCCAGGAAAATCCTTCCTGAGAACCTCCCCAGGAGTTAGTTCTTCCTTTCCTGAAGCTCCCAACAACACCTTAGTCATTCGAATGTAATCATAATTATTTGCTTGTCTACCTGTCTGTCCCACCCTCCGTACAGAACCCGGAGCTCCATGATGCCACGCACTACACTAGATCCATCTCTTCATTCCCCCTGCCTGTCTTAGTGTCTGACAGGCAGCTGGTCATCAATGACGCTTCAGAATGCAAGGGAAGTATGTAATGAAGTATGTATGCAGGACGGGGATGGGAGGTGGAGGACGGGCTGTTTCTGGGTGGTAAGGCCATGAGTCTGCTCCCTTGGCAGCAGAATGGAGTACACTCCCTTTAGTAATAGAAAGCGTCCTCTATGTCAACAGTTAGATGCTGGTCGGTCCACATGTCCTGCTTCCTTAGGAAGTACCGTCAGGGTTACTCAGAGGCTCCGAGGGAAAACAGAGCGGTGCTGTTATCTGTGCCAGGTCACAAGGTGACTGAACCTTCCTAACGGACCCTCCTGGCCCCATTCCATGCCCACTCTGTCCAGTCTGCATCCAGAGCACCTTTGCTCTGAGGAGTGCTCAGGGCCACCGGGGTCCCCTGTTTCTGTGCCAGTCCAGGGATCCAGGACAGCATGGACACTACGGTCCTCGGTAAAGGGCCAGCCTGAGAAACACTACTGCAAGGGGGGCTCCCTGCAGCCTGCCCCAGCCCAGCCCAGGAGTCAGGCAGCACAGACGAGAAAGTGACACTGGTGAAACCAAGGGACAAACTGTGTCCTGCATGGCTGCAGCCTCTGGTCCCCTCTTATCCCCCTTTCCTTGGCCAGCCCTGTCCCTTCTGCCTGGATAGTGCTCTCCTATTTTTTATCTTATCACCCCTTCTCCCGGTCCCAGTGGGCCTTTATTGTCCCTACCTTAGGCCCACTGAGGTGAAGCAATGTGACAAGGCCACACAGGACTTTGGGCTGGGACTGGTGATGGGGCTGGAAAAGGTTTGAGAGCACAGGATTTGAAGTGAGGCCATCCTGATTCAACAACTGGCTCTGTCGCCAACTGGCCCTGTCTCCTTGGGGCCTCAGTTTTCTCATCTGTGAAATGGGGTTAATAATAGGGGCTCCCACCTCATAAATACATGGTGCAGAATGAGTGCAGTGTGGACAGAGAGGGCTCCTCATGTGTTCCTGACCAGGCCTCCTGGTCACTAGTCCAGGCTAAGACTACTGTGAGAACCACCCTTCACCCCCTTCCACACACAGACACACACACTCTCACCCACACAGCACTTGCTCCTGAAGGGCTCTCAACCTGTCGCTAGAGACCGACCCCTCACTCACACTCCCCAGCCGATGACCAGCCAAAGTCCTGGTCACCCACAGAGTCCACTCGACACAAGTATTTTCTTGACATCTTAGGGCTTTTACTTCAATTTGAAGCAGATGGTTGAGCACAGACGTGAACAGCTCTGGCCATTTGAGCACAAGGAAGGGGCAGGCCTTGGCTTTGAACACGCCCCCCTGCTGGCCCAGTCCCCTGGTCCCTTCCTCCTCTGCCCCTGCACACCCTGTAACAGACCACCGTCCTCCAAGTGGGGCTCCATCTTGCCCAGTAGGACGGCTCCAGCCAACCCAGCCTCTAGTCCTTCCTCAGGCCACGGGCAGGGTAAACAAGAGAAAAACTCTTTCTGTCCATGGCAGGGCCCGCTCATGGTGCTGGCTGCCTGGGATGGGTCACGGTGAGGGAAGGCTGGCTAGGGGAGCAAAGACCCGTAGGTAGCTGCCCTGGTGCAAGTCCCTGGTGTAGGGGAGGGAGTAGTATTGCTTCTCTCCCTGCTTACTCCCTTCTGGTGATGCTCAGGGCCCAAGGAGCCTGGACCCAGGGGACACTGAGAACTGGGGCCAGCGGCCTGGGCAGCCAATGAAGGGGAAACAGTGGGCAGGGAACTCAGGCCCCACTCCTGGCCCTGCCCAGGCACCCCAGCCTCCCTCTCACAGCCCCTAAGACTTGTCTTGCACTCAGTCAGTGCAAGGCCTGGTGGAAAGAGAGCACCAGGTCAGAGGGCCCGGTGCCCCAGGGCTCATCAAATGCCCATCCCTTCCATGAGCTCCTGGCAGAACCGCTTACCCATCTTCGGCTTGAGATGGGGCTCAGGCAACAGGAGGAGCAAAAGTCACAGAGCAACGGTGTGGCTTTTCGCCGTGGGGTTTCATCACCCCATTTCCTTCGGTGTCTCTGTCGAATCTTTGGCAACGAATTTCTGCAGCTGGACAGTGGGCCTTGGGCTCTGAGTGAGTGGGGGACTGAGCTCTCCCCTCCCCACCAGGCAGAGGGCAAAGTGCGAAGCAGCCTCGGAGTGGCTGGGTGAGGGCGGAGGGGAGAGGGAGGCAGACGTGCTCCGATCCGACCCTGAGAGGCTGTAGGCCGGGCGTCTGGCGGCATCTTGGAGAAGACCACGAGGCTGGACTCAGCGAGCTCACCTTGTCCTCAGGCCTGACTGGAAGGAAGGCCCACAGTGGTGGCCTTGGTCTCGCCCGCAGCCAGTCACTCCTGAAAGACATGACCAGCCATTAGAAGCTGCCCCTACTCCACCTGGTTCCTGTTTCCGGACACCTGCAGAATGTCCCCTCACTGAGTCCTCCAGGCACGGGCCTCCATCTTGAAGGGTTCAATAACTGGAAGAGCCAGGATTCAAACCCAGGCTTGGCTGCCTCCAGAGCCCACACTGCCCCCCTCCTCCTTAGTGCTGCATTTCAGAGGCCTTGCGTTTTGGTTGGTTTGGGGAAAGAAGAGGACCACAGTGGGTAGTGGGAGCCAGGGCCGCTGGAAGCTCAGGGACACCTGGGGCTGACACCACAATCCCCAGGGCCACCCCTTTGAGGGATCTCAGAGGCCTGTCCCCACCTGGGGTGGCAGACTCCTCTGCAGGCTCAGCCCCACTGGAATGGCCGTCTGCAGCTTCCTTGTGCTGTCCTAGGAGTCACAAGGCCCATTCTAATTGTAGCACATTCACCTGCCAGCTGGGTGACCTCAAACAAGTCACTTGACTTCTCTAGGCCTCAGTGTCCTCATCTGTAAAATGGCATGGCTGGAGCAGATCGATGAAAGCTCCTTTTAAGCAGGAGAAGGAAGTACGTGTTAGCTAATACAGAAAACATGGTTCTGTCTATTTGGTGCAGTGGAGTCAGGGGACACAGAGGGAGGGGGACCCAGAGACCTACTGCATTCCTTCCAACAGAGAGCCTGGGACATGTCTGAGAATCAGGGTGCTAAGGAGCACGGTTTGAAAATTGCTGGGTTAGACCACCTTTAAGTTCCCTGCAGCCCTGATCTGTGCAATCCTCATTCTGGCAGCTGAACTTGGCGCTGAGCAGAGGTTGTAACTGGCTACCAGGAAGCAATGCGACAGGGGGCAAGGTCATGGGGGCTGTGGGGTTTCAGCTCTCTGGGGAGGTCAGAGCTGGTGGGGAGGCTCTGTGAGACCTCCAGATCCAACCAGGATGAAAAATAACAAAGTCCCTGAACCTGGTACAACACATCCCTCTTAAAGCAACTCCAAACACCCTTTTGATTCGTGCTCCAACCCTCAACCAACAGCTATTAATAAGTAGTTATTTTTAAAGTAAAACATCTGTCAGGCGCCTCCGACCTGCCAGGGAGCACTCTCATTCCCCTCTCATGAGTGAGCAATCCCAGGCTCCGAGAAGGAAGTGCTGGAAGTTGCCAGGGCCAGGATTTGAATCCAGATCGGCAGTGTTCATTCTACCACACAGAGGCTGCTCTCACTGAGACAGAGGCTTGGGGAGCCGGGATGGAGCCAAACCACGACGTTGGAGGGCCTGCTAACCACAGGCCCTGGTGAGCCCCGTGGGCCGGGCGGCCAGCCAAGATGCAAGGCTGGGGCAAGGCTGAAGTGGGGTCCAAGGAGGGTGAGGGAGCCGGGCCAGAGGGAGGGAGTGCTCTCCAGCTAATAGCGGCTCAGGAGGGAGAAAAGGAAAAGTGAGAGGCGGGAGCATCTTGATGTGGTAAATCCCAGGCTCACATTCTCCAAGCCCACTGTGCATGGCTGGCCCCAGCAGGAATCTGCTTTGTGTTACCGAGTCTGAGGAGGAGGATTAAGAAGCGGAAAGGAAACCCGTGGGGATGGCACTGGGTCTGTGGTCCACGGGGTGATTTACAGCCCGCGTCATCCCGGCGCTGGCTGCCTGGGCGGGCCCTGCCATGGGCAGAAAAAGTTTTTCTCTTGTTCAGCCTGCCCGTGGCCTGAGGAAGAAGGGGAGGCGGGGTTAGCTGGAGCCGTCCTCCTGGCCATGCTGTAAAGGCGGTCGGGGCAGCCTGGGGCCAGCCCCAAGCCCTCTGTTGGCTCTTAGTCCCTGCTGAAGCCACAGCTACCATCCAGGATTAAAGGAGACAGGGGTTTCTCTGGCCAAGGCCTGATCTTCAATTCTTGACCCCACCCTTTTCCTGGTGTCTACACTGGACCACCACCACCTCGGCCCAGGAATCTCAGCACATACATCATCTATCCAAGGAAGTCTTATGACAACTGGGATGTAATGGGAAGAACACTGGGAGGCCTCAGGTGCCAGGACTTCCTCTGCAATTCAGCAGCTGTGTGACCTTGGGTAGCTCACTCTCCCACTCTGTGCTTTCATTCCCTCACTTGTACAGTGAGGGGAGGGGAGGCAGATTGGCATTGCCCAAAAGGTGTTCTGTGGAACACGAGCTCGGTGAGGCATTCCATGAATTTGGGAAATACCACATACCTTGACCCCAACTTGGAAAGTCGCTACATGTATTACGATATCAAAGGCTCCGAAAAGTCCTGTAGCGAAGAAATTTGTGTGGCTTTAATGACCCAGTTTCCCAACTGACTTCTTTTTTTGAAACAGGGTCTCACTCTGTCACTTAGGCTGAGTGTAGTGGCGAGATCATGGCTCAGCGCAGCCTTGACCTTCCAGGCTCAAGCGATCTTCCCACCTCAGCCTCCCAAGGAGCTGGGACTACAGGCATGCACCACCACGTGTGGCTAATTTTTGATTTTATTTTTTATAGATTCAAGGCCTCACTATGTTGCCCAGGCTGGTCTTGAACTCCCAGACACAAGCAATCCCCTCGCCTCAGCCTCCCAAAGTTACAGGCGTGAGCCACTGCAGCCAGCCTTCCCAACTGATTTGATCATGTAATTGCTACTGCATTGTGAGGAGCAGAAACTCACTTCAACCCTCCAGGAAAGGGAAGCTCATTTAAAGTTACAAAAGGGCGTTTCACAGAGACCAGGGGAAGGTCTCAGAAAAGGTAGCAAAGGGCTTGCAAAGGTCAGTAGGGGCAGTCTGTGGCCCTGCCCTCTAGATGCCTGCTAACAGTCACTTGCAGGTATCTGCCTTCCTCTCTGACTACCGACTGGCCTGGTCTCCCGGCATGCCAATCCCCGAGACCCAGTGGAGGACGCCCATTGGTCTAGCCTAGGTCTGATTTATTCCCCTGGACCAATCAACTGTGGCCAAGGGATAGGAGCCAAAGATGCCAATGATACCTCTTCATAAGAGGCTGTGTGTGGGGTGGGTTGCATGTGGGGATGCATAATGGCAAATATGGAGGATAGCAAGCATCCCCGCTGTGACCACCACACCACAGAACCCCTTTCATGGAATGCCTGGCAACATCTTGTGTCCCATGTGAGGGGCACAGTGCGAGAGGCTTGCATTCCCCCCAGCTCTGGCCCTTTGTGGGTTTTTGTGTTTCTGCTGCCAGCCAAGGCTCTGGGTCTGGCTTACTCCCTAGCTTACTGTCCTCAGAACCTCTGCCACCACGGAAGATGTCCTTTATTTATGTATTTATTTATTTATTTATTTATTTATTTTTATTTGTTTTGAGATGGAGTTTCGCTCTTGTTGCCCAGGTTGGAGTGCAATGGTGCAATCTTGGCTCACTGCAACCTCTGCCACCCAGGTTCAAGCGATTCTCCTGCCTCTGCTTCCTGAGTAGCTGGGATTACAGGTGTGCACCACCATGCCCGGCTAATTTTTTGTATTTTTAGTAGAGACAGGGTTTCTCCACGGCCAGGCTGGTCTTGAACTTCCGACCTCAGGTGAGCCGCCCCCTTCAGCCTCCCAGAGCGCTGGGATTATAGGTGTGAGCCACCGCGCCCAGCCGAAGATGTCCTTTAAACTACAGGTTCTGCTGCTAAAATTAACCTTGAGAATGACTAGATGAGATGGCCTCACAGGTCCCTCTCAGCTAGTCTGACGTACCGAGTCAGAGCAAGGTGATTTGGTCAGTGTGGCAAAGTGGGAGTATTTATCACAAGCGGAAATCATCTTTTTATCTGTTCACTTGTTTATGGCCAGAATGCCAGCTCCACGAGGGCAGGGATGTGGCATGTTTTGTTTGCTGTTGTAGCTCCAATGCCCAGAACAGTGTCTAACACACAGCAGTATCTCAATAAACACTGGGCCAGGCGCAGTGGCTCACACCTGTAATCCCAGCACTTTGGGAGGCCAAAGCACGAGGATCTGTTGAGGTCACGAGTTTGAGACCAGCCTGGCCAACATGGCAAAACCCCATCTCTACTAAAAATGCAAAAGTTAGCTGGTTGTGGTGATGTACGCTTGTAATCCCAGCTACTTGAGAGGCTGAGGCAGGAGGATCTCTTGAACCAAGAAGGCAAAGGTTGCAGTGAGCAAAGATTATGCCACTGCCCTCCAACCTGGGTGTCAGAGGGAAACAACAACAACAAATAAATACTGGTTGACTCAATCATAGCTACTTCAAGTCACGGGCATTTTACTCACTGTGGCTTTATATGTTACAAAATATTTCTCCTATTTCAAATGCAATATTGAGCGTTTTTGTAAATGGGTCTATCTATACTTTCAGGGAAGTTGTGGTAATTGTTATGAACCCTGGAACAATTTAGCATCCTTTATGCTTTTGTTCATTTCCAGTTTAAAAAAAAAATTCTAATTGTTTTCCTCTCCTGATCACTTCTGTGCACTGCAGGGTAATTTAACCACTTTGGGGTATTTAAAAAAACGATTTTTTATCTGCCTTTAAGTTATTTTACCTTTTATATTTACTGTCAGTCTATGATACCCACTTTACCTACTTAACCATTTTCCACTATTTCAAATTATACATTTTTTGTATTTAAGCAATTTTGATACAGCCTTCTACATGCAGGAGGGAATAAACCTCCAATGGGGTTGAAATCCTGACTTTTCTTTAAACTGGTCTTTCCTAAACAGGGCAGTCAGATTTCAAACGTTATTTTAAAACTAAAAGGTGAAAAAAAGAGCAGATATGGCATGGGAAGAGAATTTTTAAAAACCACAGTTTGCCTTTCACTGTTAAGTACACCTGTGTATGGGCTAGAAAGGGGGCTGCATGTTTGCCTCTGAATGCTGCTCTTGATTCTTACTGGGGTTCATCTTGGCCCCAAAGTCAGCTGAGGGGCCCTGAGCAGGATGCTTAACCTCTCCAAGTCTCAGTTTCCTCATCTTTTTTTTTTTTTCCCTGACAGCTTCTTGCTCTGTTGCCCAGGTTGGAATGCAGTGGTGCAAACAAGGCTCACTGCCACCTCAGCCTCCCAGGCTCAGGTGATTCTCCCCAATCAGCCTCCTGTATACCTGGAACCACAGGCTCATGCCACCACACCTGGCTAGCTTTTTTTATCTTTTGTAGAGATGGAGTCTCACTTTTGTTGCCCAGGCTGGTCTTGGATAGATGGAGTCTCACTTTTGTTGCCCAGGCTGGTCTTAAACTTAAGGGCTCAAGCGATCCTCCAGCCTCAGCCTCCCAAAGTGCTAGGATTACAGATGTGAGCCACCGTGCCTGGTCAATTTCCTCATCCTTATTTATTTATTTATTTATTTTTGAGTCAGAGTCTCACTCTGTCACCCAGGCTGGAGTACAGTGGCATGATCTTGGCTCACGGTAACCTTCGCCTCTTGGGTTCAAATGATTCTCGAGTCTCAGCCTCCCGAGTAGCTGGGATTACAAGCGTATGTAATCACACCCGGTTAATTTTTGTATTTTCAGTAGAGATGAGGCTTCACCATGTTGGCCAGGCTGGTCTTGAACTCCTGACCTCAAGTGATCCACCCACCTCA